TTTTTGCCTAAAGTTAAAAGTGTTTTAAGATAAATTTAGTCAGACGAAAGAATCCACCTACAGTAACACGCGAATGACATTTAGTTGTTTACCAGAAGAGACGTCAAAATCATGGCGGATGTGGCGAACAGCGTTTTTAGTGTTTAAAAAATATAGACTAAAAATTTTTTTTTAAAATTAAATTTCTACAGCAATCTTCTGCTTTTATGAAGTGAAATCGATATATTAAGGTTCCTTAGACTAAATACTTTAAGAAATAAACATTTATTTAATAGAATTCGACATGAGTAAACTAGCCTATTACGCACATCAAAACTTAACCCAAAGGCTACAAAAGGTATATTAGTAGGATACACAGATACGGGATACAGAGTATTAATAAATGAAAAAATAGTCATTAGTCGTCACGTTACATTTATAGGTACGAAAGAAGAACAGATAATAAAGATAGTAAATACTGAAGATGAAACTGATGAAAACGAAGAATTTTATGATAGTGTTGATGACTCAAAGGAAAAATCAAGTAGAGCTGTGACTGAGGAGGTGACGGATATCCGACCAAAAAGAGATAGAAAAATGCCAGAGAAATATAAAGATCATGTTGTATATATAAATTTTAGTGATGCACTGGTACCAGATACGTATGATGAAGCAATAAAAAGTCCAGATGTAAATAAATGGAAAGATGCAATGAAAGAGGAATTGAACAGTTTGGAAAAGAACGAAACATGGATTTTAGTTGATAGACCAGAAAATAAGAAAATAATAGATGTTAAATGGATCTTTAGGATCAAGTCGAATGGGAAGTATAAGGCAAGAGTAGTCGCACGAGGTTTCCAACAGATGTATGAAGAAAACGAGGAAATTTATTCACCAGTAGCGCGAATGACGACAATGAAAGCTTTATTATCAATTGCATGTGTAAGAGGATGGAACATTGAACAAATGGACGTTGAGACAGCATTCTTGAATGGGAGTATTAAGTCTGAAGTTTATATTTACCCACCTGATGGATATTGTACAGAGAATAATAAAGTGTGCAAACTACAAAAAGCTCTTTATGGATTGCGAGAAAGCCCACGTGATTGGTATGAATGCTTTCACGAATTCATGTCAAGCATTAATTTCAATAGGTCAGACTATGACTATTGTTTGTATACAGGGTGTGTAAATAATGTAAATATATATCTATGTCTGTATGTGGATGATATTTTGATTTGTGGGGAGAAAAATGAGGCAATTGACGAAGTTAAACGGCTATTGCACAATAGATTCCGAATGAAAGATCTGGGAAAGGTGAAACAGTATCTTGGAATAGATGTAGTTTTTGAACCAAAAGAAGGCAGAATGACTTTAAGCCAGGAAAAATACATTGTAAGTTTAGCTGAAAAGTATAACGTAATCGAATCAAAGAACTTTGAGACACCAATGGAAATGAATTTAAGCATTGAACCAAGTCAAGATGTCAGTGCAACGTTAAAGTATAGAAACTTGATTGGAGCTCTTCTGTATGTTGCAAGTGGAACACGTCCAGACGTATCTTATAGCGTAAACTATTTGAGTCGTTTCCAAAATGCTTATAGTGATACTCATTTCAAATATGCCTTGCGAGTTCTCAAATATCTTTACTGTACGAGACATTTAAAGATGAATTATGACGCCGACTACGAAGAACAATTGGACGCTTATGTAGATGCTGATTGGGCCGCAGATAAATCGGATAGGAAGTCGACGACAGGAATCCTTATAAGAGTTTTTAATAATCCGATCATGTGGAAGTCACATAAACAGAAAATAGTGTCAAGAGCATCAACTCATGCCGAGTATTATGCTTTGGCAGACTGTGTTGAAGAAGTACTTCCGTTAATAGGTGTGTTACGCGATTTAGGCGTTGAGATTAGGGATCCAGTAAAAATTTACGAAGACAACAGCGGGGCTATTGCGTTGTCAAAGAACGGAAAGTTTTGTAAAAATTCTAAGCATATTGACATAAGCTACCACTTCGTATATGACTATGAGAAAAAGGGTATTATTAATATAGTAAAGGTTCATACAGAAAAACAGTTAGCGGATATATTGACCAAGGCATTAGGAAAAAATAAATTTATAAAACTTAGAGAACTGGCAAATGTCAAATGAAATGTTAATGACAGATAGTCTTTTGTTAAGTGATTTATTTATTATGTTAAGTTGTTATATTGGTATTAAGTTGTTTTTGTTGTTTTCTATAAAATCAAGGAGGTGTGTTGAAGTTATGATTTTATGTAAAACCTTCTTGTTAGCGCGACTCGATGGCCTGTTCTCTATGTCACCGTTACTTCATTCTAGGACTTTTGCAAATACGTCAACGGTGTATACCTATAAAAATGTAATGTGATTGGGACTACATAAACTAAATATTACGAGCTGATTGTCTTTCCTTTCTACGATCCACTTCCTCAACAGTTCGTATATGCGCAGATTGATAGTTTTTCGGCACTTTTACTCAACAAGGCAGGTTCATTGCTCCAGCGGCTTCGCGGTACGCGCGCAGCAGGGTCGTTAGGGATTTAGTTGATCGTGGGAACTGTCCACTGATTACACTTTTTATAGATAGGGTTATATCGATTTTTAATGTAATTTATTAACATAGTATTAAGTTTTTGTATACTAACACATGGATCTATGTTGTCCGAATAATAAATAATTTGAATTTGATTTTTTCTCGTCTGTTTCGAAAAGCTATACAGCCAATCTTTTTCTGTTAGATATTTGCAATAATTCAGACATCGCTATCCGCATCTATATCAATCTATGAAGAGCTTTTACGGATGTGGATTCATATCAACAAGTAATGAGATGAATCATCTAAAGAGTGGGCGGAGCCAGACTGACACTTACTCAAAATGATATTAAATAAGGCTGAAAACTCTTTTAGTTTTGTTCTCTTAATAGATATGATTAAATAAACATTAACATTAAATCTATTTACATTATTTATGAAGTTTAAACTGAAATAACTTCATAATATTTAAGCTTAAGATAATCTTGCTAGAATCAAACCTATATGAAGATATTTCAGGTTTAAGTTCATAAATAATGTAAATAGATTTCCTGTTAATGTTTATTTAATCATATCTATTATGAGAACAAATGAACGAACGAAATGAAAAATTCGCATCCGCGGATGTGAATCTCTAATAATCCATATCGGCATCCGCGGATACCAAGTTTTTGCATGCTCATCAACCCTGGCACTATTTTTCGAATTTAATTTTATATCTCTGTTTTGACTTCCACCGTTACGATGGTGTAGATTATGACAGGATTCTCTAAACTTAAAACTAAATTTAACATCAGTCTGTACTTTTCATTCTGTATAGAAATTGACAGGGATACACTGTTGTCAAATTAAAGTTCAGCTTTAGAGAATCATGCAAGAATCGACACCAATGTTATTGTCAGTCAAGTTAATATTTTAATAAGATTTCGGTGATTTGGTCGAATACAATTTTATTATGTCAAGCCATTCGATCTATTCATACGATTAAATGTTTAAATGAGTCATTACGGGAGAAATCGAATCTAAATTAATCGATTAAAAACTATGATTCGTATTGCCATCTAACACCATCCCTACTCAAATACAATCGTTGAAATTTTCAAATTTGATGCCAACTAATTGTTGTTAACTAATTTTACCGTTCTTTTACTGAAATAAAATGGGGGAACAAGCGGAAGAGCAATTAAATGATGTTGATATGGATAATTCTGAACTGACTTTTGATAATCTCACAATCCTAAAAGAATTCAGCAACATTGTGAATTTAGTAAAGTGAGTTGAAGTTTTCTTTCTTTATTTTAACTATTCCCACTTCGTTGTTTTTACTGAATATACTTGTCGTTTACAAAACAATAGGTATACTTGACTGAGTATGTATGTTATGTTTGGAAACAGTTACTATATAACAAATTTTGTTTTTATGAAATTTTAATAACCTTAATTTAGTAGACAGAAGTAGACGATGTTCGTATAGCCAAGATAAAAAATCTTGTTACGATCTAAACCTCTCCTCTTAATGTAAATGAAGATTAAGTAAGTGTGTTTTATTCACATTACTGAATACATTTATTATTTGATGAATAGTGATAAAATCTAAGTAACTAGTTCAATTCTTTGCTTATTATTAAGAGGGAATAGCTAAATGTAGCAGATTTATGTCTTAAAATGGAATAACCAGGCTGACATATCTATTCAACTCTACACTTGGGTAAACAGTGCCCTGGATAAAATTATCAGTGCTTCTTATTTCTCAGTATTCAAATAATAAAAACCGAGCAAATTCAAACTGCATCTCAAACTCAATTTAATATTCAATTTTTATTAGATACGAATGATAACCACTGACCTTTTCAAGTGCTTTATAATTTACTCTGTGCTTTATTGCTCCACCAAACAATCTAAAATATCCATGACAAATTTTTGCTGTATCCATTCTAGAAAAAAAAAAGTTCCCTGTGGTATTTATTGACTTACTAGTAGTAACTAGTAGGTCAATAAATGCAAAATTTATGTACAGTTAAATTTCTTTTTGGTATATTTTTTTATGTGACAATGGTGGCAAACAAGCATACCATATATATTGTTATGGTCCACCTGATGGTAAACGGCCACCATTATTATTACAATTATATATTTTTTGTATCAGTATCTCAAGTACACTGTTGTCAAATTAAATTATGGCTTTAGAGAATCATGCCAGAATCGACACCATTACACATGTAAGCAGGTATTATGGATGCTTATTAACCACTTATGTACTGTATTATTCAGGAATGAAGATTTTCTTGATACTGTACCTAAAGCCAAGCTGAGAAGAGTGAAATGGGTGCCAATGTTCAACTGTCTTAAACAGGGAATTCTGGATGAAATGGTCCAAGAATTAAGTGCTATGTGGCAATATGAAAACATGCATGATAAAATTGAATCTTTAGAAAAACAGAAGGAAAAATTTTCTGATGTAGATGCTGAAAAAAAATTATGGTCTGTGTATGATCATTTACTTACTGAAAAGGCAAGTCCATACTAGCAAGCAGCCTCATGTGAGGCATTTTCATTGGGATCAGTTTCAAATAGTGAGGTACATTGTGCTGCTGGGATACCGTTAAAGTAAATTTTTTAAATATCTTTCAATATACAATGTTTTTGCGGCCATCAGATGTAGTGAGTCTGCTTGCTTGATGTGGACATGCCTTATTATAAAAGAAAAAAACAAATTTAATATTACTTCCAGACTTATTAAAAGACTTTTTTACTTTTCAATTCATAGGAGACCGCAGCTTGCTGATGTTAAAGCACAGTTAAAAGCCAGTGACATAAGTAATCTACAAAAGCAAAAGGCTTTATTAGAATCATTGGCTAAAGAATATGAAAGCAGAGTGAACAGATTGAAAAAAACTGTTACAGCGAAGAGGGGTTACCTAAAAGCTCTACAACTAGATATACAGAAGTATCAAAAAAAGAATGAAGACTTTATCACAAAAATAAATGCAAAAATTGAAAATCATCAAAATTTGACCAAAATCATGTTACCTATCAAACAACATCCTGATGAAATAAATTGGGTGGAAAAAGATTTGGAAGTGCAAGAATAAATAGATGAATACATCATTAAATTATTTGAATAAAATTTATATTTCAGAAAATTGTACACACCTGAGAAAAGTACAACGAAATTTATCATAATAATTTTAAACTCAACTTTCTGTGTAAGTTAACTTTACTAGTGTAGATGAAAATAGAATAAGTTAGTAAGTGACAGAATCACATAAAACTAATGTTGCTGCATTCATTTTACCAGCTACCTATTTACTTCTATACATTTGAGATGTACATAGAAAGAACATAGATTATAATATAATTGAAATTTAATAGCAACATACTAAATAGAAAGATTTATAAAGCTATAATTAAGAAAAGATAAAAATTACTTCATTATATGAAATGATTCTTCTATTAGCAAAGTACATTCAGAAAAATTATAGAATATTGATAATTACAATTATTGTTGTAAATGCAAACCAAAATGAAACAAAAAATAAATCTCTTAGTTTAAATAGTTATATTTATTATTAAATGAAAATCATTGACATTGTTAACATAGCTAAAAATAAAATTGTACAATGCAAAACCTGCATATAATTTTATATTATAAGAATATAGCAATTGCACTATTTTTGCGAGGACTACACTGTTACTACCACCATTAATTAAATTATGAATTCATTCCAAGACACTTTAATGCCAACTGTTACGAAACTTCTCAAGGGGAGATCATACCAATGTTAAAAAATTTTGAAATATCTACTTACTCTTTAGGAATAATACTGAGTGCAAATTAACATTAATTTCACTGGGAAATACAACTCTAAACATAACTATATAGATGTGAATCTTAGGATTGATAGATAGAAACACTTAGCAGCTATAACAAGGGGAGGTTAATATCTCATGGTTTAGGCCAGCTCCACAATAGGGTTATTGAATAATTGAGATAAATTAAAATAACTAAATTGCGCAACGTAAATAACAATCAAATAGATTAACGTTTTGTTGAATTATCATCAATGTGATACTAGAATTTTCGAAATTAAATCCAATTTACGTTACTTATACAAGACCTATACATACTTTACATTTATAGGCACATTAGTAATAGAATAAACAAAGCGAATGTGCTTTCGATCCACTACAACTTAATAGTAATTATAAAGGTGTTGACGCTTGTGTCCAATGCCCGCATATTTAAGATCACCCGCCACTTCAAACTCTTTAAAGTTAACAAAATAATTTCACTAGAACATCAACATGTCACATAACAAGGTACAACACAATAACTAGGGCTGCAATACATTAGGGATCGAAAAAGCTATAGTCACCGAGTCGTCGCCAAATATATCATTTAATGTCCAATCAATATCCACCAAATCTTTGTAGAACTAAATTCATAAATTAATATCACTCACATTAATTAAAATTAAAAATAAGAAGGCACAAGCGAGTTGATAAATAATTTTAACAATATGCGACATTTTATTCGGCTATGTCCAACTAAACATAATAATTATAATACATGATATAATTAATTATTTGTAGCATTCGTCTCACTGTGCAGCACACTGGAACCCGAACGTCAATTATTTCTTCTTGGGCGGTGACCGCTGGGGCGTGGCTGGCCTCCCGCTGTTGATACCATTGTACTGATATTTAGCTTTTTTCTCTGATGGTTTCAGAATCTGGTGGCAAAATTAAATCCATTATAATTATAATAAATATTGTTTTTATTTTTTAACTGCTAGATGTTTAAATCTAAAGAAAAGTTTAATAGAAAAAAATCCAGCCAGACCAGGCAGCAGTCGGGACTCGAACCCGCACACTTCGCTATCCGGGCGAATGCACTGACCATTTTTCGAGTCCCGTCTGCTGCCTGGTCCGCGTGGTTTTTTTTTTCTAGTAAACTTTTCTTTAGATTTATAATAAATATTTCCAACACACACCAATTAGCCTTGCCCCAAAGTAAGCACTGTAAGGCGTGTGTTAGGGGTCATCTATAAAGTACGTCACGCGTTAAAAAGGGAGGGAGCAGATCGACAACGTTTCGTGATGTCACATTTTAAAATCTATAATTGTGAGCTTTTATCAAAATAATTTAAAATATTTAGAATTCTACCTGTGTGGGATTTAATTTGTTTTGTTGGCTAATAATTTGGGAACTGTTATCTTAATAATTTGTAGATGCGTGTGATGTATTTAATGATGTCCCCTTATGGAGAACCAGAGTAATGGATAGAAATTACATAGAATAATACATAGTTAAGTATATTTGGTACTAATACATTATATAAGCAGCCATGACTTAGGTACAAGTGCTCATCATACAAACATTTGCCCCACTGGGATTTGAACTCAGGACCTCTGTGTAGGCACACATTGAAAACCAGTGTACATACACACATCAAAAAAAGTTTGCGATCACTTTGAAAAATATATTTTTTTTGTGTTACAGAAGACTTTTGTAATTTCTTTTTCTGATAATATTAAATTAGAATTAGAACGTAAAACAATAAATTAATTCAATTGTTTTTCCATATAAAAAGACATGTAAGCCAAGTTGACACTCATTCAGAAATCTGACTTTGTCAATGTTATCGAATTTAAAATATTTTAGGGGAAACTACCCAATCATTGGCACTCTTCCTATTATTGGCACGTTTGAGTTTAGTTCGAAAAAAACAGGAAACAATAGATTGTAGGAATAATGCTGCCAATTTTCAAATTTCAAAACCATACTAGGTTTTTCTTTTTAATATGTAACGACCTCGAATAATCTATTGTTTCCTTGTTTTTCCGAATTGAACTCAAAAGTGCCAATAATAGGACGAGTGCCAATGATTGGGTGGTTTCCCCTATCATAGAAAGTTGCGATTTAAAAAATGCCACGAGAATTATCAATGTTTTAGAAGCCAGAATTGTAACTTAGAGGGAAGAAGGCTATTCTACGAGAGAAATAGCACACAGAGTTGCTATATCCCAATCCTGTGTAGTAACCACGTTGCAGAGGTACCACCGCATGGGTAATGTAGCTGATCGACCCCGCAGCGGTAGCCCAACTGTTTTGACAGCTGCTCAGAAGCGCTACATCAGGTTGCTGGTAGCCCGCGACCCAACAATAAACGCCACTAAATTAAAAGCAGAAATGCGAGCCGCCTCCGACTTGAAGTTAGCACTCAGACCATTCGGAATTGCTTACACAATATATTGGTTTTAAACTTTCAAGGTCACTAACATTATAGCTATTAACGGGATTGTTACCATGTACCTTGTTTTTTATGAGTCTCTTGAAATATCCAAACAAAATTTCAATCGTGAGGATGGCTTTAAATTGTCAAGTGTCCAGTGGTGCGTATGTGCAGAAACCGCAAAAATCAAAAAAGTGTCGTTCCGCTATCTGATACTGTGAGTATTTTGTGTCGGGAACGGGTGCGAGTGAATAGTGAGAATGTGACCAATGGTAGGGGTATGGAGCGCAGTAAAAGACGACGTCAGAGGGTAGACCGATATGTCTGCCAATAACATCTACCCGCAATTAGGGTACAGTAAACGAAATTCTATTTAGTCCGTCAGTTAGATGATCAAAAAATAATGGACCCGTATTTTTTCTTTGGGCAATCAACCAAAAAATGACAAAGTTATAGCGCGTCGAAGTTTGGGAGTAGGGGCTCGAGACGTCACTTTTGAGTGAATTTTCCCTTATAAGTGTACTCAAACGTGACGTCATGCGCCTTTTCAAAGCAATATATCTCTGCAATGTTTATATTATGTGAAAAAAGAAAAAATACGTGTCCAATACTTTTTGATAATCCCTGATAAACGAAGAAAAAAAAAATAGTCATCATCCCTATTCACGAGAACGTCAGCGACGGAGATTACAGTGGGCTAGGCTCTGGCAAAACGAAGAAGACGACGAGGAAAACATTTGGCAAAACTGCCCCTTCGTTGACGAATCGCGTATCAGTACTCAACCAGATAAACGACGTCTCCGTGTTTGGAGAAGACTGGAGATTCTGAAAGGCAAAGAACGGCCACTGGAACAGTTCAGCAAGGCGGGGAATCAGTGTGCTTTTGGGGTGGTACTATGATTGGGGCTAAAACGCCTTTAATCCCTTATCAAGGCTTCATGACGGCAGACAGATACAAAGCAGTCGCTATTGATGGAATCGTCAGACCTTTCCGAATAAACCATCGGCACCAATTTGTACTGGTTGATGATAATGCGCCCGCACATCAAGCTCAACGAGTCAATGCTACTCTCCGAGAATACGAAATTACAAGGTTAGACTGGCCTGCCGGCTCTCCTGACTTAAACCGAAAAGAGCACGCGAGGGATGCTCTTAAGCGAGCAGGTTCTAACCGACAGTCACCACCTCAGACAGTCCCGCAGCTCAGGGAAGCTGCTGTTCAAGAATGGGACAGGTTACCACAAGAAATGCTGGATAACTTGATCCTCAGCATGCCCAGGAGGATCTTCGCATGTGATCGAGCCAAGCAGGAGTTATTTATAAACTTATATATTAACTTAGATAAACAACAATTTATTAATAAAGGTTTTTAAGTTTGGTTAAACTATCTTTTTGTTTCTATCAAAGTTCTATTACATTAGCCTTGGGATTGAATTATTAAATTTTTAATAAAAAATAAACTTAGTTTTATTTTTTAATTTCAGAAAGCGTATTTTTAAATAAAAAGAAATCATATCAGCATTTGCAAGTGATCTCAAACTTTTTTGATGTGTGTACATACCACAGAGGTCCCCATAATTAATACTTCAATTATTAGAAATAAATCCTGGAGGTGCGAAAGAATTTAATTATATCTTACCTGGAAGGAGCACATAAGCGTTTCGTCAACAGACATCATGCCGCCAGCGTTGTCAAATTCACCGCAGTAATTTGGTGCAGAAAACAGAGTAACCAGCTGTCTCTTTGCGAAGAATTCATAGCCATCTTCTACTACCTACAAAAAATATTGATATCACAAAATAAATTATTGCGTAGTTAAAACAATATTATAAACTGCAAAAAATACCAGAAATTGAAAATCCCACAGCAACATTTTTTTGATAATAAACTATAATAACATATGCTAAATATCATCCAAATACGTTAAGCCGCTTTTTACATTAATATTAGTACGATAGTTAGGATCTATATCCGTACCAAATTATAGCTTTCTTGCACTAAGAGTCTCTGAGTTAAGCTGCACACAGGCAGACGGAAGAACTTACAGAAACTGTAAGGCTATGTTCAGATCATGATCACGCACCAAAGGAGTTCAGAACGTTTTTCAGTTCAGAACGAAAGTTTCAGTTCTGAATGGTACTATGTAATGATTTAGAAACAGTTTACGCGTGTTGTCGCGCAACCATCTGAACTTAGCCTAAGAGCTCCTTGTTGACTCTGGGATTCTAAAAAGGATTTTAAGTATACATATATACGTATGTGATTTATATACCTGATGAGCACGACAGATCAAATCCAAGTCATGTCTATTGAGGAATTTGCTTACAACATCCGGTCCAAAGGTGAATGACACTCCACGGTCGTTCTCTCCCCAGCCTTGTACATCTTTATCTGGGTCTGACCACAGTAGATCACAGAGTAAACCTGGAATAATAGGTTGAAAAGGGAGATGTTTTCAAAGAGATTCGTATAAACTAGCGTGTCGGATTTCACACATTTAGAGTAACGTAGTACTAAATGTAGAGTTTTTAAAGAAATATCCGATTTATCAATAAATTGGTATACGTAACAATAAACATCATCGAGGGTAATAAGGACCTCTGGCGCATGTGGTTAACGCGATCGTAGAAGTTAAGCAACATTCTCAATTGCCAGTCATTGGATGGATGACCTAAAACGTATTGTCTCGAGCTCTTCCGTTATGTAGACGTTAGTACCCACCAATCCACACTAGGCCCGCGTCATGGCCGTCATGGCCCATTCTCCCTATGCCATCCATAAGGAAGGGTACTGGTTTTTAGTCCACCAGGACCTGACTTAAAATACCATTCAGATATCGGTTGGGGTCTCCCAGAAAATGATAAATTAGTTACAGTTTGCTAGAGTTCGTGTCGTTCGACCGCACACGGATTTGCGCCCATCATCATACGAGTGATATTGCTTCTGTTTAATTTACGATCTTTGTACAAATAGCATAGGAGATTCAAGTTTCTCGTAAAATCCTACCGAAAGCTTTCAGGAAGAATGATTAGCGTGAATCGATATAGGTAGGTTAGATTTAGCAAACTGGTGACTAGTGGAAATGGTTGGCTATTCTTTACTGAACTTCATTTATTAAACACAAATCTAAAGTAGTCCCTTGTATACTGATATTACTGTATTCAAGGTACATGGTAATTCTCAAAGGCATTGGATAACTGTCAATGTCGGTGAAACAACAACCGTGAATTATTGATTTGTCTTGGACAACATATTGTATCTAATTAACAATACACCATTGTCAGTCATATTTTCAATTTAATTCTGTTTACGTGGATAATTTCTCACTGTTGAAATAGCATTGCACTCCACTGCATTCAAAGTGGTGTAAAATGATATACAACTCAGGATTAAGGGACTGGCAGTTGGCTAATGTGTATTCTATGCAGAACACAAATTCGATACCTAAATCCTAAATAGGAAGTCAGGTATCCAGTTAAGACAGGCCATAATTAAATGCTGAAAGTTAAGAGAATTCTTATACCTATCCTGCAATAAAAGTATTTTAGACCCACCCACCATTAGCTATTGATAAGCTTTATTATTATTAATAGCTGAGTTGATCAAGAAATAAATAAGTACATTAAAAAAATCTTATTCTGTACAATCCCCTAGGTATCCCAAGGTTAACCAGAATCTTATAATAGACATAGACTGAGGATTTCCTGTTCAACTGAAAAGTAAAACTGGGCACACCAATGCGAGAGAGACGAAGCGATCGTGCGGCGGTAAATATTGGCTTCACCATCACATACTCTCTTCGTAGACGGTTGCCAATTTCTGATACTGTGTAACAATTTAGCGTCTACACTGATGCTGCTTAGTATTAATCGTGGTGCAGAATCGTAATTACGTGGGCGAGATCTCGCCCCATATGGCCTCTAACAACATTGCGACTTATCGCGTTTGCATCGCCGCAAAAAGTTAATGAAAGCAACCTTGATAATTTATTACATATATGTACCTGTATCAGGAACATCTGTGGGTCTCATTATCCGTCTTATTTGTTCCATGCCCTGTAAGTCAGGTGAGAGGCCACCATGGCAGCAGAATATCTTTTCATCTATGATGGCAGCTATAGGCAGACAGTTGAAGCAGTCCGTGAATGTTTTCCATAGCTTAATATTGTATCGACGTTTACATTCATCATAGAAACCTGTTAAAAAGTTTTTTTATTTTTAAGGTAATAATTATGTTAACATACATACTGTATAAATTGTGTTAATTAAATATAAATATGATTAGATAAACTATTATAATTACCATAAATACGATTTATGCTGGCACATTCATGATTGCCTCGAAGAAGAAAGAAATTTTCTGGGTATTTGATTTTGTAAGCAAGTAAGAGGCAAATGGTTTCCAGGGACTGCTTGCCACGATCTACATAGTCACCAAGAAAAAGATAGTTGGCTTCTGGTGGGAAACCCCCATATTCAAACAAACGTAGTAAGTCTGTGTATTGACCATGAATGTCACCTGAAAGATATATAATTTGTACATTAGAGTTTGAAAGTGGATAAGAAATTAATAATTTAAAGAAAATTTTACAAGAAAACAATGTAACACCCCACCCAGCTTGAGAACTTGGACACGTGGATACTTTTCTATAATTTTCAGTTATTGAAAATACAGTTAAATGTTTTGTTGTATGATTATTATCTGCACAGAAAGGTAAGCAGCCGGTGCATAATATTTCTCTATTACCTTTGGACTTACAGAATTATTGTTAGGAGAATTTATTTGTGTTAATATTACTACTTTTCTCATTTAGCATAATATTTTTTTACATATAGTTCAAATACCACAAATTTTGAGTGGTGCCTCCAGCTCCAGTAATATAGGCTGTTGTAAGAATATCTCCCTGGATTTGGTGCAAAGGCCTCTGACCTCCGACTCGGACATCTGGACTGTTTTTCCAGGTCTGCATCCTCGAACTATAACAATATATTGTATGTTATAAACCTTCTCAAAAAAAGAAGCTTGCAGAACTTAAAATTATATTCTTGTAAAACTATGATGTCAATTTAATGTTTTTTTCTATCATGACACATTAATAATATTATATCCAGCAGTTCGCACTGACAAGCACCGTAATTACTTAACATTGCGATTGCAGCAATTGTGGTTTAATAATAAGTTTAAATTGACACCAGCCTTATTAATTATTTATTAGCTATTAATTACTTAGCATGCACTTGTTAAAATCTGTAAGGACTCGAAATAATATGACCAGGTAGTTAGTTGTATTTTCATATATCTTTCAATACAGATTTAAAATTTAATATAATTTCAACCTGGCCAGATTATAAACAGAAATAATTACTATAGATGAATAATTATTCCTTTATGTTTAAATATGATAGTCCCAAGCAATGAAAAATCAATATGGATAAAAATGTGATATGTAATGATGAGACCAAATTACCACTCCTTACCAACATTTTACAAAAACAATATTACACAGCATTACAAATATAAGAACAAATTGTAAAATAATCATGATGAATAAGTACAACATGCTAGAATAGCTTACACAAGAGCAAAATATGAAAATTAAATTTTTTTTGGATCATTCTGACTTTCACTCCACTTGAATAACAAAATTGTAATTGGTATTAGTGTATTTATGCTGAGCTTTTCACACATGGTTCCTGTAAAACATGCTCAATACATCCAATTCAAAAAAAATATATGAAGAAATTAAAATTATCAAAACAAACATTGAAACAGACATGTCACTGTATTGGAGAAATGCAGTTATTATAATTATATAAATTTATTGGAATAGACTATTTTAGTATCCCACCATCAGCAGGAATTTTAACAAATATTGTTTACGAGTTGGGTGAGATACGAAAACACAGGGGTCTTTTTAGTAATCTGGGAGTGTGTTACCATTTGTCAGGATTGATCACTAAAGGAAAAAATAAAGATTCTAGCTCAATACTTCCATCCACAAGAATTTTGGATATGATCATACATTCTCCTGAAAAGATGTCTTTCAATTTCCCTTTTCGCCTTGCTGATTCCTGTTGCAGTCTGTACACTGTTGTGACCCATCATTAAGCAGCGTAATAAAGTAAAATAAACATATTTAAATCAAGTATAATGTGCATAAAGCAGAACAATAGAGCCAGAGAAGTGTTCCAAGCTACTGCTTGCATAGTGAGCAGAATCTTCTGCTGATAAGTAAATTGCTTTTTATGTTTGCACGACGAAAATAGCTATCGTCGACATCTAATAAGAAGCTACTTCAAATGAAGAATCAGATAAGAATTGAGGATAATCGATTTATTTATGAGTTTGACGTTTGAATACCTCTAGATACTCGATGATTTATTACGCAACTACGAATTTAATGAGTTAGGATCACCTAATAAATGCATTTTATGATAGTTACAAGATTAAAGGAAGTATAATTAATAGGAATTAATCAAATTTACCTTCTAAAAGTCTGTGAATTAGACTGTCAACATTGAGTTCGTCAGCCATATTTACTACACGAATAATTTACGTCAAAAAGTCAAAACTGCGACAGACACCACCATTTCCACCATCGTTCACTACCGCCATAGAGTAGATTATTGTTTCTGGTTTTAGGTAACTGCCGCGTGCCGCCCTCTACCGCCTACAGTGCGACAAAGATCATTAGGGATGCAATCATAGATATATAGAGACTTTATAATGGGGAACGATTCTAGCGTCACATTCTCTAAACCTAAACTTAAGATTACAGAGCTAATTTTAGTAAATTAAGAACACAGTTGACAGCTGTAAACGAGCATTTAAATTGAATTCACAGAATATGTAAAACCATTGAACCGGTAGTTATCGATAAACAATTAAATTTCTCGAGAACCATTAATCGTAGAGAGTTGAGACTCGTCACATTGTTATTCTTATGTAAAGCTCTAAAAATTACACGCATCATGTCTCGATCTCCGATGCGTTGCTTTCAAGATATTTAATAAAATAAAGCTATTTTGTTATAAACAATAAAGCACATTTTGCCATGTGGTCACAAATTCATACTGATGTCTGCCGTCATTAAAAAAAAATGGATGCGTGTAACTTATGTACGCGCGTGAGAAGTTATATTTCTTTAGCATCATTAAAAATATTTTTTAATTGCATGCAAATAATTAATAATTACAATAAAATAATAAAAGGACTGGAAAAGGATAGTTAACACAGTCAATTAAGTGCAGTTTAAAACAATATACTAATGGTTTTTCTTATTTAATCTAAGTAAATAAGTTTTGTAACACCATAGTATTAAATATCATCACGCCGCCCGTTATTAGATGGCGCTGTACGCATGTGAATCGCGCTATCCTATACCGACACCGATTGTATGGCACATCATAGGAACAAATATCATCACGCCGACCGCTACTAGATGGCGCTGTACGCATGTGAATCGTGCTATACTATACAGACACCACTTGTATAAGGTGTTCTTGGGAAATGGACCAAGTCATCGCTTCGTAGGTAGGGCCTATTGTCTTGCACGGTATACGCTTCCACCACGTGGGACGTCTTAGTGTCTTGATAACAGTATACATGTACTTCCACCCTTGTGGGATACAGTAATACCATTTCTCCTACAAATATTGAATAGTAATCACAATATAAGTATTTTCTACCTACGCCTATCTTTATTTGACGTCAGTCTTCTCACACTCCCCCTTCGCCCTCCCACACATTCTTACAGTTTTATTAAATAATAAATATTATAAATATGAAAACAGTGATCAGAGGCGACGAGCGTCCCAACATGTGCGACTAAGAGATCCTATTACTATTTTGTTGGAAGCTTTTTTTCGAGACCTACGAGTAATGTGCGGTTTAGCGGCCGACTTCATGGTGTTACTTTTCTGTTACAGTGTTGCGCGCGCATCTTAAAATTTCACGCTCATCATTTTTTCATAACGCGCCCGCGGCTAATTTCATTATGTTACTTTTGTGTTACAGTGATGCGCGCGCATCTTAAAATTTCACTCTCATAATTTTTTCATAACGCGGCTAAAGAAGTATAACTTCAAAACCTAATGAACAAAATCGGTTAATGTTCAACGGACTTTCATTTTCAAAAGCATATTGGCTATACTATACTATTACGATCCTTTAGAAATCACTGATTATTTTTGGCTTCAATACGAGTATTGTTAAAATTATTAGAACCTATTATATACTCGCACTTCATAATACGGAAACAGTTCTTCCGAACAAAATGTTTTTGCTTAGCGTCTCTTTTATAGAAAATAGCCCTCTGTGATACAAAAATATTATGTTGCAAACAACAACTTTTAAATGAGCTAAAAATAGCACCGTTTGAATAGAACCGCGAATTTAAGTTCAAAGGACAATGGGCAAAACACACCCAGCTCCGCCAACAATGTAATATTATATAGTATGAATCGATAGATCTATGAGTAACTAATCTTTTTTATTATGACACCGTAAGAAAATATCCTGATAGTCAAAAGATATGATACCGTAAAAAAAAACCTGGTTGCCAAAAGATATGACACATTTTATATTATTAGTAACCATAATAATATGCCATATCGTAATATACAACCAGATATACGACAAAACCTGCCGACCATCCTGTGCTTGCACTTACTGAGCCACCTCAAAACGGTTTACGGGGGTTTAAGGACTTGCAGTTGCAAATAGTCGACTCGTCTTACTTCATTGTGATTGGGCGCTCCCTGTCATTTGATTGATTTTTATCTAACACGCTTTGGACATTGGAACACGATTATCGGTTGTCAATCAATACGGATGAGTTGGAATTATGTTTTTTCCGAAGCGTGGACAAGTTTGTATGATTTGTGGTCGCCGTTTTACATAGGAAGACACTTTACTATAACGAACATACAGTTTGAACAAACCCCAACCTATCGTGGCAGAATAACATAAGGGGACACCCTTGCACCTTAACTCCCGTAATACCTAAGCCCTTTAAGTAAGATCGAACTAACTAAATTAATTCCCTTGTTTCATTTATGTTCGTTCGTTAAAGTGCTGGTAAATATTTAACTTAAAATAACTAAAGACTCCCGGGATGGAATTCGATGCGCTTTAGCACAGATGATCATGACTATAATACCTTTCAAACAAATGTAGTTTATGCCGTGGCGGATGTGGGTGCAGCGTCCATACATTTTTGCCCAATCTCCTTTGAAGGGGAAATAATCATTTTCGATCAAGACTAAACACAGGCTGTGATAGGATCTTAGAATACCAGTAGAATTCACGAAAAAAACTATGAGTCAGTAAATACGGAAATAGTCCCCTTTGAACAGAGGCTCCTCATTTGATCATTTTTTCGATAACAGATTGACTTTTAGCATTACTATTGCAATGTGTTAAAACGGCTATCATAACGTGCCGCGACTATGGTAGTTTTCCAAATAAAGAGCATAATGCGACTCAGTGGCGCACAATGCCGAATTTTGCAGATGCACCAGCAGAGTGCGCTGAGTTCAGTGTTGAAAAAAAATATTCATAGAGTTAACAATAACCTCATTAATGTGTAAATAAAGTGGTATACATAATAATTACAATAAAACTAGAACCTTAAAATTTTTTCAACAATAAATAATATTACTAACGATAATGGCAGTTTTCCAATTTTATTACAGAGTATAATGCGACTCAATGGCGCATGCCGAATTATGCTGATGCTTAATTGGAACGTGAATTAGTTTTCAAATGCACCAGCAGAGTGCGCTATGTTCAGTGTTGAAAAAAAAACTCAATGTTTGTACCTTCATCCATACTTATATTTATTTTTTTAACACAGTTTAAATTAACTTTGATTATTTAAAAAAAACTACAGTGAAACGAAAGCTTTCAAATTTTTTCAACAATAAATAATATTACCAATGAATATAAATAAACAAAACATTTTGATCAATGCCAGCATAAAGAAAAAACACTCGTTAATTTTCTGTCACCGAGTTGGTACGATTGCAAGCATCACAGGAAAACATTACTTTTGAGAGTGCTCGATTGTGCAACGCGTTGCTGTAGTTGAAATATTCAACGTTAAGCCTTATGCCGCATAATGCGCTCTAGTGCTGTAATTGGAAAACTACCAATAAATAAATAAAACGTTTCGGTCAATACCAACTTAAAGAAATAAGACTTGTTAATTTTCTGTCACTGAGTTGGTATCACACGAAAACATTACTTTTGAGACGAAGCGATGCTGTAGTTGAAACATGCAACCAAAGGTTGCTTTCCAATTACAGCATTATTGCGCATTATGCGGCATAATGCTTAACGTTAAGTGTTCCAACTACAACAACGCTTCGCACAATTGAGCACTCTCAAAAGTGATGCTTTCGTGTGATGCGTGCAATGGTACCAACTTAGAGACAGAAAATTAACAAGTGTTTTTTTCTTTAAGTTGGCATTGATCGAAATGTTTTATTTATATGTTATCGTTAGTAATATTATTTATTGTTGAAAAATTATTAAAGCTTTCGTTTCATTAAATAGTTTTTTTTAAATAATCAAAGTTCATTCAAACTGTTAAAAAATAAATATAAGTATGTATGAAGGTACAAACATTGACTTTTTTTTTCAACACTGAACTTAGCGCACTCTGCTGGTGCATTTGAAAACTAATTCACGTTCCAATTAAGCATCAGCATAATTGGGCATTGTGCGGCACTGAGTCGCATTATGCTCTGTAATTGGAAAGCATACAAAGAGTACTTTTTATATACGGAAATGCATTCAACGTTAAGCATTATGCTGCATAATGCGCTCTAGTGCTGTAATTGGAAAACTACCTACAGGTGCAACAAATGTCAAATTATATACGAGTTTCATTTCGTAATGTAAGTGCTTTTCAGATAATTTCGTCTTGTCCTGTGTTTCCTATATATTTGTTTATACTTAACCAATCAGCCAGCAATTCAAGTTACCAACTAATTTCCCAGCAATCTCTAAGTAACAGCAACCTAATTTTGTATTTTCGCGCTAAAACAAGTATGACATTTAGTCATAGACAAAATGTTTTTATTTTCAATTCCATCTTTCCCCAATGCCGAGCGGTCAAAATGTCGCTGTTCGTGATTGTCAAGCTATTTTCTCATCGTAATGTGCCGTTCTGGCGCATAGTATGTATGAAACAGCCTGCTTTGGCGTGTGCGTTCTATTTTATTTTAGACAAGACTTGACGGCTGATAATAAATCTTAATGATTTGTTAATCGACTTTACATTACAACACTTGCTTTGGTATTTTCTTTTAAACAACAAGTTTATCATCGCAAAAACTCAATGTAGCTCAAAAATATATCTTTGGAAGCATTGTAATTGTATGTGAGAACTGAGGCCTTCGTTTTCAATGGATGAAAAGATGGAGAGCGACCAGAGTTTCAGTGGGGAGAGTAGTAGTTCATCGGAGACGTCAAGTGGAAGTTCAGACGGTGACGATGAAGTGATGGAACCAGTTCGTGTCTTGGGACAGTCTTTTGAACTTCCACAAGAACTATGCGAAGACTATTCTATTTTCAAGGAGTTCTTCTCTTTGAAGACATGGGAATCATTAGAAGAAAAGCACAGACAGCAATTGACGAAGTATCTCCCCAAGTTTACAGAAGACGAAGAAGAAGAAAAGGAAAAAACAATTAAGATGTTATTTAACCATGAGCCCTTTCATTTCACATCACCTCTCAATAACTTTTATAGTAATTTAAGGCAAGGAAACTATAGGCCAGACATTGCTAAAATGAGAAAGTTTCTCACGAAAGCTAGAGCAAAGCAGCAAAGACATAAGGTATAATTTAGTTTACACTTTTATTTTTGGCAAATAATGCTTTTTAATATTAAGTAATTTGTACTCAATGATAAAAACCTACATTTGTGGATTAAGAAATAAAATGTGGTCAATTTCTTTTTGTAAAGCTGTTTCTTGTTATATTTTCTTCTTTCAGATAAAATCTTATTATGCTAGACTCTTGCCAGAAGTGCTCATATCACGTGAAAGATTGTTGACTGCTGCTAAAGCAGCACCTCCTGGTCCTGTCCCCCGTCTACCAATCATGCCTCCTAAACCATCAGCTAAAAACAACTATAAGCCCCTTTACTTACGTGCCAAACAAAGGTATTTTGAAGAACTGGCTGCTATACAAAGTGAAGTGGGAGGTGAAGAATCTGAAGACGAAAACTATCCTGAGGGTCCACCTCAACAAAATTCAAGGAAAAGAAAGCAGGTGAACATTGGAATTGTAAGTGAATATTTGACTTGAATATGATCCTATTATTCTTATGGCTTTGTTATTGCTTGTGTCAGACTTGTATAATGTGATGACTTATTGTAACTTAAATGTTACTAGTATGCTCATGATATGTTTTGAATTGTTCTGTATGTATCAATGCATGTAACCTACCGAGACTGCTTTTGCTAGGCAACATCATGCTTATTTATCTAAGGCCCGTATTACAGAATGACGAAGTCTGAAATACTTATCTTTGATGTCCGATTCATATTAATTATCTTTAATAAGTCCGTTTGCTAGTTTGTGTATTGTAGACATAGTGAAATAAGGATCAGGGACTTCATTCAAATTGATAAAATGTAACAACTTAGGTGACAATAAAATTTGTGTATGTATTATATAGTATTTCAGTGAATGATTATAAGTGCCAACCAGTGACCTTTACAATAAAATTATTATGTGTAATATTTTCAGCCATCTGATGGTAATGTTTCTGGAACATTAGGGGGCTCTGATGCATCTCATCCTACTTCAATGGATTGCTTAAAAAGTATTTTAGCTGCTCATAGACAACGCAGACAGTATAGAGAAGTATATATTTCTTACATTGATTTAATCTTGTGACTTATATGCTAAATATTTTAAAATTATTTTATTGATTATAGAATCATCCAGAGTTAAACACAACTGGATTAACTCTTGATGACATAAAGCAAAGGGTTGCTTTTGTCAATGGTAGTAGTAAGAAATTGATGTTTGGAGGTCAAAAATTGGATGCACCAATGCAAAAACTGAAGAGAGTATCGAAGAAGGAAACACCACAGAAAGTCAAGTCCAATGAAGCTAAGGCAAATGCCAAGAAAAAGGATGATGACAGTGTTGAAACCAAACCTCTGTTACCCAATATCAAAATTAAATGTGAGCAGGAAGAGTCAGACTCGGAAAGTTCATCTTTTGTGGATCCTGTGGCTAGTCCAAAACATACCAAAAAATCTATAGACCATGTTGAAATCAAACAAGAATCTGATTTGAAATATTCTATGTCAAAGTATGTATCATTCATTATATTTCTGTTATAAATTCGTTCAAATATAGATTAATAGGCTAGTTGACCCTTTTTGGAAATATGTTGTAAATGGTTAATAATTGCTCTTTTAGACCAAAAAAAAATATTATATTTTTTTACCTATAAAGCTAAAAAACTTTAATTTTAAAATAGATTTTTCATGTACTTACAAAAACGCTGTCGGCCTTTTTAGTCTATAGATTTATCTATGCTATGACGTCAAAACATTTGTAAACAAACACTTGCAAGCACATAGGAAATACCCTACCTATCTGAATTTATATTATAAAACCATGATTTCTAATAGATTTCATGATAAAACTAGTAATTATCATGATATTAGTATACGAGAATTTAGAAACACATCATTAAAGACTTCAGAAAAGTTATGGTTAAAATTGCCTAGAGAAATACACATACCTACACATGAATACACATTTAAAACTTGCTAAATCCTGTAACTTTATTGACTGTAAGTCATTTCTTTTATCTAAGATCACTTCGATCTAAGTACTTATTGAATAATATTTAAAGTTTAAAAATAAATTTTTTAAGGTTATGAATGTACCTTCTAAGTCAAAGAGTTTTGTTGTTTTTACTTTCACAAAGCTGGCGTCCAGCATTAATTTAGTCAACAAAACCAAAATACGGAAACTTTTCTACAAGATATAAGAAGTTTTGATAGGTATATTTTATTATGAAGAAAGAAACCACAGTAACACGACAATGACATTTAGTTGTTTACAAATTTTGTGACATCACAATCATGGTGGACAGCATTTAGGTTCCTCTCATACCTACAAAAATTTATAAGAAATAAATATTTGTATAGTACAATTTGATATGAGTCAACTAGCCTATAAGTGTTTGTGAAGAATATAAGTTTGATCATGCAAACATAATTATTATAAAATTATAACAGATATATTGAATTTGACTAACAATTTGTTTTACATAGAATAATGTTGGTAGCATAAATTACATTTTAATCATGAATGTGTTCATTCCAGTGTAAATTATAATGAAACTAAGTTGGATTGTGTGATAAAACAAGAGCCTCAAGATCCTTCAGTTGCAATTCAAAATTCTTCAAAACTAGCTCAGCCAGTTCCCATAAAGTTAGAAGATTTGGATGGAATTGGTAATTATATTTATATCTTATAAATAAGGGAAGTCTGAATCCTAGTAGCAGCAGAAGTTGGTTAAAATATGATGTCACAATTATGCTTTTTTTAATAATAAAATGCCTTGTATTTGCTTTTTCAATGTTGTAATTAAAGGCAATAGTAGTTCATCATAAGTAAATACTGTCTATGATTTGAATTGTTGACAGTACTTAATTTAAAGAGACTTTATTTTGCTTTAGCAAAGAATTTGATAAATTAGGACTTCCAAGACAGTTTCTACTAAATGAGGTACAGGATATAGAAGAACATATCAGCAAACGCTTACTTGAAGGTGTGTGGGGGATTTTATTTGACTATAAGCGTGAATAAAGCTGGGTTGAGTGCTTTACATTTAAAATGCTACCTGCCATCAGAAGTTCGCGATTTGTGATAGAAAAGAACTGTTCAGACTTATTCTCATTAATATTCCATTCAATAAATTTTTTTGGAAACTAATAATTTATTTTTATATCCCATGTGCTTCAGCTACAGGCAACTCATAAGAATAAAAACCTTATTATAATAAAATTATTGTAACTTTTACATTGTCTTATGTGGACACAGTGATAATTATACATATTCTTCTATAGATATGATGGCATTACCCGTGGAATTAGCTGATGACACCGGCGAGGTTATCCCCGTAGATACGTCTGGGGAAGGAGAGGATCGCCTAGTTGACGCGGACGAGTCTCTGACAGAGACTACGCACGCTAACTTCTTGTCTCTGGTCAGAGCGCTCTTTCCAGCGAGAGCAGCACACAGAGCCTCCAAGCAACAGTTGCATTCGAGATGCGCCGCTGTTATGAAGTCTCCTATAGCGCCACTCAACACTTGGTATAATTGTAAGTAATTGCTTTTAATAATTAAACTTATAAGAACCAATGTAACAAATTATTCCCTTAGTCTCTGTGAAGAAAATTATCAATACCTTCTACACTGAGTCTACTTACGCTATTATTGCAATACTAACTGAAATTTTTATACTCATGAATGAATGTACCTAAATGTTAAAAAAACCATATATTTTTATGCATTTCACTGCTATATTAGCGGCACGTTATGATGACCGTTTTGACGTTTGTGCGTTCATGAAGTATCATATTTTAATTCGAAATTACATTTGAAAGAAATAATTATTGTTCTTCATTGTCATTAGAGACGCGTATTTAGTCATAAAATTTATTGAATCGGTAATTTTAGGGTGTAGAATTAAAATTTTACAAAACTATATAAAATCATGGTCCAAGTTATGTAGGAATAAGGATACGAAAACCTTTTCAAGTTTGAAACAATTGAATATATAATAATATATAATCTTTAAAAGATTAAGTAAATTAATTTAAATAATTGTAAAGTAATCATTAAGAAATATTATATCTCACAAATAATAAATCAATTACAGTGAGTGTATGGTGGCAGTCAGAAAATGTTTACCAGTTTTGAAATTAGATTCAAACTTTTTTCACTAAAGTCCAAAATGCCATATCAAGTAACTTATTCAAAAGTTATTATGCAATATGACGCATCGAGAATAACAAAAAGAATCACATATTACTTTTTGATATTGAAACTCATTTCTTTATTTGTTAAAATGACATTTATAAAAAAAAATATTGTTTGAACATTGTTTGGACAAGAGCAAAATTTTACGAATAATATTTTCATAACGAAATAAAATGGCAAGTTTGACCCTGAAACAAAGGGCTGAAATAATATTTCTCTTCGAAGATGGACAAGTATAAGTGCTATATCACGAGAACTCAATATATAGCGATCCACTGTGAAGAGCGAAGAAGGGCACTTAACAGATAATTAATAGAAATAATTCCGGAGGACGTCCAATACTAACCGCCGCGCAAATAACAGAAATGATTCGTCCTTACGAAGAGAACAGTTTCACACCAACTAAGTATTTTGCTGCTTTATATGATGTGAGTGCTCAGACGATCCGACGAGCTTTGCACAGTGCTGGACTACACTACAGACACCATGCTATTAAAGTGGAGCTGAAACCTCACCACAAAACAGCCCCGCTTAACTGTGCGCGACAACATCATGATTTGGCTTAGTCGAATACTATATTCACCGATGAGAAAACCTTTAAATCATGCCAAATCCGAAGATTAACTTTATGGCGCTATAATCGAACTCGGTATGATGAAGCTCATATCGTGCCTCAAAACGACTCAGGTGGCATAACAGTAAACTTATGGGGGTGGATGAGCCTCGACGGCGTCGGAGAACTGGCGTCGTAAGAGAATAGGGCTACTGCCATTAATTATGTGTCGCTTTTGGCAGAAGTGATGCTGCTAACTGTGCGCGTAGTGTATCCTGCAACAGAATTCCCACCCATTACTTATGTTCAAGATAATGCACGGATACACAAAGCCCGTGCTACTACGGCGAGGTTCAACCTGCACCGTGACATTCGTCCCATTCAATGGCCCGCTCGGTCTGCTGATTTAAACCCTATTGAAAATTTATGGGGGCTTATGGTTCAACGCTGGGACTGTAAAAATGAAAGGAACCCTCATGATCGTAGATCACACTGTGCTCGAGTATGGGATGATATTAGAGGGACCGATCTCTGCGCGCATCTTGTTGCATCTATGCGAGATAGACTACGTGCCGTCATTGCCGCAGAGGGGGGTTTTCTTCATTTTCTTAGTTAAAAAACTAAAATATTAGTTTTTTTAATTGTTTTCTACTGCGCAACGGGTCGCGGTTTCGATTCCCGTACGGCACAGATATTTTGTATTGCCTGCAGAAATTTGTCTTGGTCTGGGCGTATGTGCAATGTGCATGTGATTTTTTTTCTAATTACACCCACGATACAGAAGAAAATCCTAGTGTGAGGCGAAGTATTAAAAAAATATATATATATCAAACCTTGATAGTAGTAGGTCCATCTCCTAGACCTAGAGCGATTGATTGTCATATCATTACAAAAAAGATAATCTATGGTCAATCAAATTATTATGAAATAGACATTTAGAACTTGTGACCTAAATGTGCGCATGCAATTATGATTCTTAGGTGGTAAACATTTTCTGACCGTGACCATACTTATTCGCCACTTAACTCGACATTTGTGTTGTTCGAAGTTCAAAATGTAAAAACATGAAATTAATAAGATCGTTACATGGGTCGATCAACTTTTTCTTGTATCAAACGTCCAAAAAGTCAAAATAATATAATTTCAATATTATTTAGTTTTTTTAACGTAAAATAAATAAAAATGTATTAAATATTTCAATGACAATATGTGGCGTGAAGTAAACCTTAAATTTATACCCTTTTTACATTAAAATCAAAGATGAACCTCGAATAATGTCCATTGGCTAACCAGTTTGAAAGCTACAATTTTCTACTGTATTAATAGTCTTTTGCAATAACATTTCGCACTTACAGTATTAATAAGACTCTAAAACTACTAATGCAGAAAAAAATATGTTAAAAAGCTATTACATTTTTTAGAAACTATTAATTTACTGTCTCTTGGGTAACCGATGATAAAAACAAATTACTTTTTATTAAATTACCTGCGATTCTGCTGTTAAACTCAAATAGTTTTATTTAGATTTAAAATGTCTCAAGTATAAATAACTGCTGCTTACAAAAATTATTAGTTACCTATCTTTTTTTAACAAAAAAATAAAGACATCTTTTCTGAAAATAAGGGACACTTTGTAACCCAAGAGACAAATTGAGTGACTCAAGAGACAGTATATTACGGCAACAACTAACGAGAACTCTAGACGTTGTATAGTAGGTAGTAGGTAACATGCACTAAGAAGTAGCAGACGGTCAAATTAAACAATTCTTAGAAATATTTGCTTTATTTAATTAAAATGTCGTACAGTCTTGGAAATCAGTCTTAATGTCTACTAAATAATGAATACTAACTGTAGTGAGGAAATTATAACCTACATGAATTTACTCTAACCAACATCACAAAATGTAAGCTCAAGAAATTAACAAAATCTAGATAAAACCAGCCTCTTAGTAATTGAGATCACATCCTTACATTATCACAAATTATTAGCACAATAATCAACAAACTATATATAAGTTTATTGAAATCTGTAAGAATTGTCTTACATGTCAGTTTTCAAAAACGTCAAGGACCTCTTTGAATTTATAATAAACTTCACCATATTTGGTCTCAGTCTCTGGTTTATGGTGTATAACAGTAATTATATCGGTGTGATCGATATATGCTACGTCGCATGTGTCCAAACGAAACACAATGCCTTTTTTAACACACCGCAGGAATGTAACCTTTATCTCACCATCGTCATCTAAATCATCAATAACGCATGCGTATCTGTAGTTTTTACCTTTGGAATTGCGTACATTCACTAGTAAAAAATCTCCTATGTGGAAAGCTGTTTTATATCCTGATGACTCAGGCTGTTGTTCTTCATCATCAGAATTTTTCGGCGAGTATATTATATTGTATACCGATTTGCCACGAAACTTACACTAATTCGTCAGAACAGTGCTTAGAGGAATGTCGTCCTCAGAATCAGTCTTTTTTTTCTTGTCTATTATCAGTTGTCTTCTTACTTCTCTTATCCGTCTTCTTGCTATTCTTATCTATCTTATTGCTTCTATTATCGTCAGAAACAATGATAGGTCTATATTTTTTTGGCTGGAAACAGTTGCAAAAACCTCTGTTGCAGAAACATCCTAAATCTCTGTACATCAACTCTTCACGGACATCTGTAAAGATCTGATGCAAGGTCCCCACGAGTGGTTTGATATTTTTAGGCAATTGTTCAGCAACAGCATCTATGCTTTCTGGAGAAATCATATAAAGCCTAATTTTGCTTTGGCCACGAAGCATTTCAAAAAACTGTTCAGCGTTATGAATATCTTTACCGGTAGCTACTATATTATCCGCTGTCCTTTTTAGGAAACCTCCGACTCCATCTGCGGGGCCCTTTCCGTGGCCTGCCTCGAAAAAAGACCAGGTCACAGATGAAAATCCTTTATCAAAAGTCTTGGTTGAGCATAGATAAAAATTTTGCTTTTGACGATACTGGCTAAAGGGGCCATCACTGAAGAAATGAATAGTTTTAATTTGAGGATATTTGTTTCGAATTTCAGTCAATATTGGTTCTAAGTGGGCCCAGATAGCCGCCGGTTGGTGATTTATGCATGACGATATTGTGGAAAAAGATTTAGCTTGGACCTTGCTGCCATCGCCGAGAACATATACTACAACCGTATGAAGGTAGACTTGTTCCCTTGATCCACCGAAATGGTGGGCTTGCACTTCTTCGTAGTATTTTCCATTGTAATTTTCGCTAAAGTCCGCCACAAGAACCACTTCGGTTTCTTTAAGGTGGTCAATGGCTTGTCTGAAACATTTGTACTGCATTTTAATGTTAAAAATATGCTTTTTCAGTATTTTTATTTCTTTGTTGAATTCTTCCATTAATTGCTTTACACTTCCTTCTTTGTTTTCTTTGACATTCTTCATAGCTTTCATTCTTTTCCTTTCCTTTTCGTAAAATTCTTCTTTCCTTCCCCACTCTGCCCACGAAATTTTTTCCATATCCATTTTAGCGTCATGCACTATTTTTTTGCCGCAACATTCTTCACAAGTGCCATACATACAGGCCTGCCTATTTGGATCGCAGACTACAAAAAGAATGAGACTATTTAAGTCGTCTGTCTTTATTATATTATTTTTTTTCAGTTCAGCTGCCTTGTATATTGGGTTTACATGCGATTTGCACAAGCACATTTCTCGACCATCTACAGATGGTTTCACAACATAGAACGGTCGGTTTCTTGCAAAATAGAAATAGGAACATTTCGTTTCAGGGTTTTC